CCAGCGAAGGCTACGTACCGTGCCTGGGTCCGCTCGCAATATCGGCTTGTTACTATCCCACAGGAGCGCGACTGTAGACTGTTTACCCGGACAGTAACGCCGATTGGCTGCTTACATCAAAAGCAATACAAAGAATTGGTGCGGAACGAGCTGCCCGTCCAGCGCCTCCCCCTTGCCCTTCGGACATATGTCAACGACATGTTACAACGATACAACAGCAAGGTCTTATTGAACCGCTTCGTCCTCACTAGGGATGTCGCGAGGTTCGATTTCGAAAGGTTTCGATATTTTCGAAGCGAACTGAGGTTCGAAATCGAAACAGTTTTCATATTTTCGTAGCGACCGAGCTTCGAAATCGAAAAATTCGCAACTTTCGATCACAGTGAAGTTTCGAAATCGAAAAGTTCGAAGCTTTCACGGTTTCTAAAATTTCCGGTTCAAATATTTCGAAAACCTTTTTTACTTGAGGTTTGATAAATTCGAAGTTTTCGAACTTCCCTAACTTGATATTCGAGATATTCGAAAATTTCGAATTTCCTGGGATCGGAAATTTGAAAAATGCGAAGATTTCGAACTCTTGGGATATAAAATTCGAAAAAATCGAACGCTTTGAATTTTTATAGACGTAAAGTTCGAAAAATTTGAAGATTTCGAGCTTCTTTCTGCATAAAGTTCGGAAAGGTCGAAGGTTTCGATTCTCTTTTAGCGCTAAACTAAAAAAAAAAAAAAAAGAAACTTCGAAGATTTTGAATTTTTTTTATTTCCAAGTTTTCAGAGTTCGAAGTCCGGTTTTCATGTTCCTCCACAGTTTCAGTTTCAAATAATGTTTTCACGACTCACTAGTTTTCACGAAATCATGTTTAGAAAAGTTCGGGTGTGATATTTAGACTCCGCGAAGTTGGGTCAGCCAATTAAATGAGACGACGACTGTCCGGGATGTGCTGGAATATTTGCCAGTGCAGAGTGACGTGTGACCATAGATCACTAATTGTAACCGCCAGCCCCGGGGGAGGGGGAGGGAGGGAGTGGGGAGGGTCTTTAGTGTTATTACACAGTAGGGATCACACAAACGCACTGTACTACGATACTCATCAAGTTCGAAACGGCCAGGAGCGGGCAGGAGGTTGAAACTTAGAAAAACCTTGAAGCGACCTGGCAAACTACCTCCCTACCCCCTTGCACGCTGGTAGTAATCCGATCAAGCACCGCCCGAGTGACGCTGACATATAGCACATTAAGTTTGTAATTGTCCTGAAGATTTATTTTCCGGGACGGAGGAAACGCCTCGCAAAAAGCACAGAAGCCGACACAACTCGAGGTCGAGGAGCGTTCTACCATACTAGTGGCGTCGGAAGAAAAAAAACGGGGGGGGGGGGGGGGGGGGGGCTGCAGCCCTCCTTTCCGCCTTCCAGATATTTCGGACTGTTAAAGAAAAGAATACGGGGAAATAGGGCGTGGTCGAGCTTAGTTTAATCTGAAATTATTTATGCATATGTATAGCTACTGTCGTTCTTCACTGCATAACAAATCGAGTAGATGGTCATTCTCGAAAACTCGCTGTCAGAAGGCACTACTTGTCACATGCTTAGTGGTTCGAAAGTTCACAGCTATGTCTTTACGACCTAAATAACTGTGCCATTGATAAAAATATATTAAAAATAAACATAACAATAAATGCAGGGATAAAAAGCTGGAGAAAAAAAACTATCAAGAATTCGCCAGAAGTATTGTATTCTTGCATATTCAGAGGCTCAGAACTTCGAAAGAAGTTTCTCTTACCAAAATGTGAACAGGCTAAAAGAAACACGTCGCAAGAACGTGAAGCGAAAAAACAAATGTTTATTTTTTGATGACATGCTGAACTTGAACAATATTAGATATCTTCTCCCATGAGTTAATTTATTCCTTAACGTGAGAAAACAATATATACATTATTTTGTATGCTGCAGATGGCAATGATAGGTACTGTCTGTAGTGTTAATTTAACTGCGATACCTCAAACAACTTAGACGAAAAAAATACCAAGTTTAGGGCATAATTGCATGTAGATACATGTTTGGACATTTCTTCGAAACTTATCTTGAATAACAATAATCACATATTAAGGCAACACTTTCCAAAGCTATACATGGATCATTCTTAAAAAGTTTAACATCTCAACCATAATAAGCTTCGACTAAAGCACGCTTCAAATATGGCACAAACGACAATTGTCCTTCCTTGCTTCTTCGGGAATCCCTTTCTTTAAAACCAAGCATGCCAGATAATTGAAATAAACGGCTCGTTTTTCGCAAGGAATGCAACACCGCATGTAAAAATGCCAAAAAAAAATACAAAAAACGAATCTACCCAATGCTTGAATCAAAATCAAACCGCTCGCCGGTCTTTCGAAGTTCGACGAACTTCGAAATTTTACGCTAAAAGTTCGAAGTTCGTCGAAGTTTTGACTTTTCAGGAATTGAAAGTTGGACAATTTGCGAATTCTTTAGATTAATACAGTCGAAAGTTCGAAAATTATCGATTTTTTTTGGCGTAGGAAGTTCGATAGGTCGAAAAGCTTCAAATTTTTTAGTGCAAGAAGTTTTAAAAGTCGAAAATCATCAAATATTTTGGTCTATCAAGGTCGAAAGTTCCGCAAGCATCGAATTTTGCACCGTAATAAGTTCCAAAGGTCGAAAAGTTTCGAATTTTTTAGCGTTATAAGTTCGACGGTTCGAAAAGCGTGGAACTTCTTAGTTTAACACGTTCGAAAATTTGACTTCCGTTGAATCTTACAATACAGAAAGTTCGAAAATTCGAAATCTTTCAAACCTTTCGAACCGCTTAATTCGACAGTCGAAAGTTCGGTTCGAAAAAAATTCGCGGCATCCCTAGTCCTCACCAGTCCAACTACTAGTAGCGAAACATTGGCTAGGACCTTAATCTCCAGAGTTCAATAATGCAATAAATACATCGTTTAAGTGTCAATCCTCTAAAACTATTTCGAAGACATTAAACTGTTGTTTCGGGAAGTGAACAATAACTTTTATTTTTATCGATTTCTCCGCTACTTTGAGCGGGGAAACTGGGTATATAGGACACGTGGCTTCAATTTCCACGCTGAAATTAACGGCGAAACTAAATTGGTGAATTGGTCACGTGAGTCCCAATTTTTGTGCTAGATTTAGGGGGGAACTTTTATTGCTGTGTCACGTGTCGTCAGTTCACGTGCCATCAATTTCCCAGCTCAATTTAGCAGGGGAACTAAATCGGTGAATAACGCACGTGAATTAAATTTACCTGTTAGATTCAGCAGGAAAATTTCATTGGTGTGCCACGTGTCGACAGCGCTCGTGATGGTAACTTTCCCACTTAATTTAGTGGGGAAGCTAAATTTGTGTATATATCACTTGTCAATTCTTCTGACAAATTTAGCAGGAAAATTTTATTCTTATGCCACATGTCACCAAGGCACGTGACGTGAATGTTCCCGCTTAATTTTAGCGAGGAAACCTAATTTGTGTATGGATCACGTGAAGTCAATTTTCATGCCAGATTTAGGAAGGAATATTCATTAATGCGTCGAGTGTCGCAAGGCTAGGTGACGTTAATTTTGTTTTTCGCTAAATTTCACGAGACATTTGAGGGTGTTTTGGTCATTGACATGGATTTTCCGCAAATTTTAGCGGGGAAACTGAATTGGTGTATATCGGACAAGGCACTGGTCAAGGATCCTTCCTGTCTGTTCAAGTTTAGTGCAGGATGTATTATATTTCGCAAACCCAAAGCTAGAAACATGCTCCGCCCGACTGTCGTCGCCTGCAAGGTCGCTCTTCCCACGGAGATTGAATCCAGCTCGGCAGACGTGACCGGTTTTCCACCATTACGTAGTTGGCGGGGTAAAGAAAAGGAACGCAATACACTAGCTCTGCAAGCAGAGCCTATACAGTTACTAAAAAACGCAGTAGAGTAACTGTATATACAGTTACTCTAGCACGCTGTAGATTAATTGTACATGCTCCGCACTCGGAGCAGAGTATCGCAATGATGCTCCCAAGGTGGCCATGTTTTTTTTTTTTATGAATGAATGAATGAATGTTTATTTTTCCGGAATCAACCGAAATGGATGTTAGAATGTTAGATCCAAGCTCCACAATCGGCAGCGAGAACATCAAAACAACACAAAGCAGACTTTATCTGATCATCTAGAAATACACTGCAAAAACTGTGGTTCAGCCCCCATTTAAAAAATTGCACTGTGTTGGCGCGCAATGGCGACCCTCTCTTTAGATAAATTGTAGAGGCCAAAAATGCGAGCGACTTGACAAGTGTGTCAGCGTACCTTTCTTTTTGTCATCTGCCAAAGAAGTAGACTACCTGACGAAGTAGTCAGTGTAATAAGCGAAGATTTTCTGGGTGTTTTTTTATATTTCTTTATACCTTTGTCTTGCTTTATACAAACAAGTAAAATAAACATGAGTTGATAATCAGCTCTTTGTTTGTCTTTCCATGTGCGTTCTTTTGGATGTGTTTATGACGCGCCGTTGCTACTAATATGAACTCTCACCGACTCGCTCAAGCTTCCGTCTGAACAATCCATTAAGAAATCATCTTCATTTTATTATAATATTATTTTTCATCAGCAAACAAGTTGAAATGTCATGCAACATTTGTTAAAGGTCACATCTTTCTACACATGTGAACACTGAGGCACACTTCGCTATAAATGTGCGGATGTAAGATAGACAGAACACATTTCCTTGCTCTTTTGGTTAGTATCAATTCTGTAGAATTTCTGCTAACTCTTCATAACCTAACTTATAGGAATATTGCACGTTTCTTATTTGGATGCATTTATTTAAATGAAGCACGTTACCTTTGATAAACGCATAAACTTAAGTTAGTTAGAATATTATTTAATTTTCCTTGCGAAATGTGTTTACTGCTTACAGGTAATCGATTCCATTTTTTTATATTTCTTGAATTGTTCTAAATATCTTCTTTGTATTTTCAGGCCTCTTTGCTACTGCGAACACACACGCAGTTGTGGAAGCCAAGATGCAAGCGAATGAACTATGGTGGCTGTTTGCAGCGCTGCAAGTCGGGTGGAGCATAGTCGTACCTCCGAAAGGTAAGAAACCAAAGGGTTTACGTGGCTGTGGCTTTTGATTGCCGGTAAACTAGAGAAAACGTATGATAAAATATTTTACTTGTGAGCATGTAAAGTGCTTGATGCAGTTATGATGCAAATGATTATATCTAAAAAAAGAATCTCTTCAACATGTACTTAATACAAACAAGAAACCATGTTAACCTCGGGAGCTATGGTAATGAACCCTTGAACAAACCATCAAACTCGTAGAAATCAGAAGATATCCCTGTTGGCTATAAAGTTCGAATCGGAGGCTTTTTTTTGTGCGGAAACTTTATAAATGCTATAATTTTAGATGAACATGTGCTTATCATCAAATATTTATGCAATGTACTCGCTCAGGTCCAAGAAACAGGTCACTTTATGACCTCCTAGCTAGCTGCACTCAATTTTGTTTAATATACCGATATTGTTGTAAATTTAGAGGAAGACATAATATAAACGAGATCAAGTTGGTTTATTCGGATCTATTTGATCTAAGTTAGATTTATTTTATTTACGTCAGCATTATGTGTTTCGGGTGAGATCAATTTATTTTAACCACTGCAGGGTATATTCAGACTAGGAAAATCATAGGGGCGTCAGACCTATTTTTTAATTAAAGTTTTGTAATAGGTCGCAAAACATGTGCACAAACAAAACAAACCTTACGGTTCAAAAATAATGCTTTGTTTTTGTAAAAAAAAACGCGTCTTAAAGTAGGCGGAACAACGACTGTTTTTTCAATTGCGCGTGGACAAAACTTCGATGCCCCCACAGGAATGAAAAATAAAACCAATTCAGCGACGTAAACATTTTCATATATAAAGCACGCCAACTGGCATAACTGACGTAGATAAAAACCTGTTCTGTTTTTTTTTATATTAAAATTGTGAGAATTGTGAAAATGTTGTTTAGAAATAAACAAAAACGTATTTAATTTTTCTCAACTTCCCTCGATAAACCCTTGAAAACCGGTAATTCATAATCCAAAAGAAAATATTGAATTGAATTGTTTTATTGAGAGTAGAGAATAAGCGTAAGGATTATTTAAATTGTGATCTCAATCACGATTTTTGCGTGGTTTAAATTAGATAAGTTTTACTGTGTTGATCTATATAAAAACATCCTCACAAAACAATCCCGGACTATTTATTTACAGGTTGTCTGTTATTTGAGGCTTGCTCTGTACATTTGTTGTCTATCTAAATTTAAAAAGAAATCCTCAATCAACGGCTAAACATGAGAAAAAAACAGTGCTCTTCTTAGTAAATAGGAGCGTTCGGCTTGGTTTCTACCTTCCATTTTATTCGTCAGTTCCGCAACATCTTATTGCAATGAAATCAACATACGAAAATAGTAAGAATTCTTTTTTTATCAAAATAGAAATCAAGTTTTGCTTCTAATATGGCGTGGATCACACAAACAATTTATTTACAGCTATTTTTCCTTCGGCATTTCTATTGGTCATAGACGAATGGATCAGTAAATATGAAATGTTCAAAATACATCTTGTGATAAAGAATCACTGTCCTCCTACAGGGATTTAAATCCATCTACTTGGCCTAAATCAAATGCATCTGAATAAAATTAAAGACAGAATTGATTCATTGATTTTTTTATTAAAATTTTTGGCACCCTGCTTTTAAATTTAGGAAAATATAAACCTTTAGTCAGGTCTATGTTGCTGTCCATTACCGTTGGAGGGTTCCTGTCTGAACGGCTAGCGGTACTCAGCACGGCACCCAAAGTAGCCGTACTTGAACGCATTATCACCCAGGCACACCGTAGCGTTGTACAAGAGCTTGTGAGCTTTTTTTTCATTAGTGATGTGGCTTATTTTGCCTATGAAAGCTGAACTTTGCGTCGCGCTCAGTCTTTAGAGTGTTGTACATGGCTGGTTGCGCTGCACTGTGCTCTTTCCAGGGATACTGAAGCAAAACTTGAAATACACCTATTATGGTCAGAATTTAGGTTTAATATGATCAATGATATCCGGAAATCATAATAGCGCGTTTGTATTTTGAACGGATGGCTATATTTTTCACCCTGAGGGGCCCCATTGGGCGCGCGCTCAGAAATCAGCCATCGGAGAGCGCGAAGCGTCTTGGGATATTACGCGCATTCGTGACGTCACTTGTGCCAGACGGGAAAGACTACGGCGTGGATATCGTGGTTACAAGCGTTGACACTTGGTGGCGCGTCGACGATTTCCGACCTGTGACAACGTGGCCGTTAAGATGTGCAAGGGCTGCACGCACGCTGCACCACGACAAGTCGGCAACCTCGGCACCACTGACAAAACCAGCTCTGAGGCCGGATTCTCAAAACGAACTTACGATGAAAAAAGTGCGTGCGACAAATTTAAGAGAAAACCCGTATTCCCGAAACGACATTGTCGTAACTTTTACGCAGGTTACGACAGAATTCAACAACAGCTCCCAAGCTGTCTTACACACTTTTTACTATCAAATCAACATGGCCGACAGCGTCGCTCAGTTACTTGGTAGCGACGACCAACGGGCATTTATTTTTCTACGTGCTCTTCTCGCGCGTCCCGACTTCAAGCAGGAAGAACAAAAGAAGTACTTGAAACAGACCACGACGATCAAGAACGCAGGATCCACAAACACCCGAGAAGAGCTATACAATGGCCACGCGTCCACCGACCAAGCGAGCTCTGCAGAATATAGTAGGCCCAGCAGCAACACCGACTCGGCGCACCGTTGCTCCGGGGTTCCTTGGCCAAGACCGTCTGCCCACGACCGGCCGTTCTGCTGAATGGAATATGCACGCGCGACCCTTGTGGATCCTTCCCGGATGAATAGTTTGATCCCTGAACTAAATTTCAGAGGTCAATCTTTTCCCGTTGTCATCTCGATCTCCTTGTTTTCCGAGACAGCGGTGACGAACGCTGTCGTCGGAAAGGGACTCTCATTGATTCTATCTCCTTGTTTTGTGTGATATAGAGCTCAAATAAACGCCATACGGATTACCTTCGCAACGCGGTATGTAAATTTTCTTATTAGTATGACATCTTTATTCTGACTTGACGCTACGTCACTGTCGAGCTGTTTCTGGGAACTACGCGATGTCGGTCCAACCTTTCTTTGCCGAGTGTCACGTCAGTATCGATTTGCAATCGTAAAAGATCGGTCCAGAAGCGCTTACCGAAACGTGGTCTAACAGAGCGAATCCAGCACTTCGATCAAACGCGAGTGTCCGATCCGAGTATGAAGAGGTATTTGCGTGGCTATTGCTGATACTCTGGTAGTTCAAACGTATCTTTTTTAGCGTCGGCTCGCAGCTCGTGACTCGCAGGAACAAATAGCGTTCGTGCCAGAAGCATGCTCGGGTCGTGTCGTGCAAAGAGCCGCAACGAGAACGAGCTCACTGTGGCCAACTACGCATGGGCTTTCTCCACCAAGGCTTTGCAAACGCGTTCAGGCCTAAGCTAATTCGGCGGGCACGCCGTATTTCCGCAGAACGGCGCTGCTCCTATGCCACAGGTGATGTCACGTAAACTTTCACACCATCCACCAGATGTGAATTTGAAATTGTTTAATTAGGTTTAAAATGGGTTCTCCTGTGTCTTACTGCGCGATATTCATATTTCCAAGGTGGTGATCTCCCTAGCCCATATTTATGCAGAAAGATCGGCGCTAAAATTTCGTTTCCGTACCCCTTTAACAGGTGCGGTCTGTTGACAAAATCGTTTGATTCAGTTCTCTAGACTAGAGCACTGCTCGGACCAGAATTTCCAGGCCCGGCCCGGCCCGGCCCGGTAGAGGCAGGGCCCAGCCCCGGCCCGAGCCCGATAGAATATTTAATTTCTAGGCCAGGCCCGGCCTGGCCCGGCCTGGACGAGACACTGCCCGGGCCGGGCCCGGACCGGCAGAATTTTTAGACAGAGGCTTCAGCACGGCCCGATCCTGAGAAACTTTTTGAAATATAATCCTGAGCCGGCCCGAGCCCTACAGATTATATACATGAGCCCGAAAAGGTTAGCAGGTTTTAACCTAAAAACGGTCTAAGCATAAAGCGAGCATATTTGATTTGAATGTCTTTAAAACTTAGATCGAGTTTTTTTCTTTTTTTGACGCGATAAATATCCCGACTTAGATGATGCATTTTCAAGAATATGTCGAAATATGCGCTTCATAAGTGATTATTAAAAAAAAGTCGGCAATATCTTATTTATGCATTTCTTAAAGAGTAATTCGACTTTTGTTGTTCAATTCAATTCACAGATAACATTTCTCTCTAAATGCTTTGTAGAGATAATCGTAATCACGTAAGTGCATATTCAAGAGGCTGTATGAGCATAAAATTGTATATGGTAGTTAGCTTATCTCTTGGTAGTATAGTAAGGCCCCTGCAGAAAATACAAAGTCAAGCTCGCGTTTTTTTTTTCTTTTTTTGAAAAGCAGAGGAAAAAGATTCTCATGTTATACCCTGGAGTGAACTCGTTTTCTCGACAGCACTTTCACAGTATGCTGGAGGAATCCATGATTCCTTTTATCCACGTAAAGGCATTCCGAGTTCAAGACGTCAATTTTCTTTAGTTGCGCCGTAGTTATTTTGCAGTTCGCTTGTTTGTTTTCATTGAACCTAAAAGATTGAATGAGCACATTTTTTCATATCAACAATTTAGAATTTGCAGCACACGACTGCCCAGCCACGGCCCGGGCCGGCCCGAGCTCGAGAAAATGCGTGCTACCCGGCTCGAATCCAGCCCACGGGCCGGGCCGGGCTTGGGCCTTCGGGCTGGCCTGGGCCCGTGCAGTGCTATACTCTAGACATCACTATACTCTGTTTTCTCTTGCAATGGACTGTAGCGGATGTCACGAGGCGCCTCAGCCAATAAAGTGTATCGAGTGACGTCACTGCGGCCTCTCGAAAGTCATGGGACACTCAAACGGCATTGTGTTGCTTTTATTGGTTGTAGCGCCCTCCGTGGTTCAACGTAAGGTAAGACGGAGCATAAAATTACAGTACAC